CCTCCTGAGGATTCAGCTACAGAAGAGCAGCAAAGAAGCCACTTCTCTCCAAGAAAAACCTCAAGGACAGACTGAAATTCTGCAGGAAGTACAGTACAAGGATTGGACAGCAGAAGACTGGTGCAAAGTTATTTTCTCTGATGAAGCTCCCTTCCGACTGTTTGGGACATCTGGAAAATCAATTGTTCAGAGAAGAAAAGGTGAACACTATCATGAGTCCTGTGTTGTGCCAACAGTGAAGCATTCTGAGACTATCCATGTGTGGGGTTGCTTTTCAACCAAGGGAGTGGACTCTCTCATAATTCTGCCCAAAAACTCTGCCATGAATAAAGAATGGTATCAAAATGTCCTGCAAGAGCGACTTCTTCCAACGATCCATGAGCCATTTGGTGATGATCTGTGCATTTTCCAGCATGATGGAGCACCATGTCACAAAGCAAGAGTGTTAAAGAAGTGGCTCGAAGATCATTACATTGAAATTTTGGATCCGTGGCCAGGCAACTCCCCGGATCTCAATTCCATAGAGAACCTGTGGTCAGTCCTCAAAAGGCCAGTGGACAAGCAGAAGCCCACAAATTGTGATCAACTCCGAGAACTAATACGGCAAGAATGGATCGCCATCAGTCAGGATTTGGCCCAGAAGCTAATATCCAGCATGCCAGAGCGAATTGCAAAGGTTCTGAAGAACAAGGGTCAACAATGTAAACAATGACTCATTCAATTTTTTGCCCAATAAAAGCCTTTAAAACTTATGATATGCTTATCAAAAATCGTTTTTCAGTATACCATAGAAACATGTGGAAAAATAATCTACAAATACTGAAGCAGCAAACTTTGCAAAACACAAAATTTATGTCACTGCCAAAGCTTTTGGCCATGACTATAGTCACATTTGTGTTGATCGCGGTCAGAAATGACCACCACTGGAAATGAATGGGAAATACGTAAAAATACGCAAATACAGATAATTTTTTGTGTGTACAATCTACAAATCATTCACGATGCAGACAAAATTGCACAGCAATGAAGGGGTGAAAATAAATTATATCCATTGTATCTTAATAATAATCAAATGTTTTCTTCCAGGTTATTTCACATCAGATCTTCAGCTGATCTACAATCCAACAACCAAGTGTGCTCCATCTATCATGAACTCTGCAACTGAAGCTCCATTCACACACCCCACAGACTGCACTGAGGTTCAGGTCCCCAGTCAGGTGTTCATGGCCATTGCCGTGGCCAGTCTAAGTGAGAACCTCTTGGTGATTGTGGCCGTCATCAAAAACAGGAATCTTCACTCCCCTATGTACTGCTTCATCTGCAACCTGGCCGTGTTTAACACCATCTCCAGCCTCTGCAAGGCCTTAGAGAACATCCTGCTGCTGTTTAAAGAGGCCGGACACCTGAACTCCCTTGGTCGTTTTGAGCTGAGTATAGATGACATCATGGACTCTCTACTCTGCATGTGCTTCCTGGGCTCCATCTTCAGCATCCTCACCATAGCCGTGGATCGCTACATCAGCATATTCCACGCGCTACGCTATCACGCGCTCATGACCATGCGTCGCGTGGTGGTTACTTTGTCCGCTATCTGGGTGTTGTGTGGCACCAGCGGAGTGCTCATGATCGGGTTCTCCAAGGCCGCCACAGTGAAAATCTTCTTCATTGTGCTCTTCTTCACAGCTCTGCTCCTCATTCTCTTGCTCTATGTACATATGTTCCTGTTAGCGCGCCACCACGCCAACAGGATTGTGTCTATGCCAGGCGCTCAGGCACACCACAGACAAAGTGGCTTGAGGGGGGCGCTGACACTCACCATCTTGATTGGGGTGTTTGTGGCCTGCTGGGCTCCTTTCTCTCTTCATCTGCTGATTATGATGATTTGCCCAGAGAACCCCTACTGTGAGTGCTACCGCTCGCTCTTCCAGCTGCACGTAGTGCTACTGGTGAGTCACGCAGTCATTGATCCGGCCATTTATGCTTTCCGTAGCACAGAGCTGCGCAACACCTACAAGAAAATGTTCCTGTGCTCAGCTTCAAGGATCTTTAAAGAATGTGTCTGAATGAGAAGTGTGTGTCCCAGCAGTAAGTGCTTCACACTACTGAAGGATAAAGTATAGAACTGCTACTTTTTCATGTGGAAATGAAAACGGCTGCAGAAGAGATTCAATTCACAGGTACTGAAAGACCACAACATTTTTTTGAAAACAACTATCCAATAACACTTGGTTCATTAACATGAGTTAATGCATTAGGAATTATAAAGTACAGTCACCATTATTATAAACAATTATTTCAACAATGTTAATTTGAGAATTTTTATCAATTTGTTAATAATACGTTTGTTCACAGTACATTAATCTGTGTTAATTTATCATTTAACTTGAAATAAAAAAATAAAAAATTTGTCTATGTGGAATATAAAACCTAGACTATTAAATTATTGGTAACACTTTACAATAAGTTTTGATTCATTAACATTAGTTAAATTAATTTGTTAACACAATACATTAGATAAATAACGTTAACTAATAGGACCTTATTGTAAAATGTTACCAGTTCTGTAAAAAAAAAAACATTGTTAATTTTTAGTTCAATGACTAATGTCAATAAATTGAATTTTATTGTAAAGTGTAACAAAATCTTTTAGAGTTAAAGGGGTGGTTGATTGCGAATTCACTTTTTTAACGTTAGTTAGTGTGTAATGTTGCTGTTTGAGCATAAACAATATCTGCAAAGTTACGAAGCTGAAAGTTCAATGCAAACTGATATATCGTCTTTTAAAATTCTGGCAGTTTAATATCTACAAAAACGGCTGGTAGGGACTACAACAAGTTACTTCCCGGGTTCGTGACGTAACAAACCCAGATAAACCCCGCCCTCGGGAAAAGGCAGCAAAGGGGGGCGAGGCCTGCGCTGCTTTAGAGAAGAGGAAGAGAA